CATTGTATTGTACTCAGGGCCCATTTCTGACAGGACTTTCTTAAAGGAGAAAAACTGACAGCCTGTTCCCCATATATTATGTTGGTATACCTCATCAGCTAGTATCATAAGTTTCTCCTGCTTTGCGAACTTAATAACATCTTCGATGTTTTGTCTGGTAAGAACTTGTCCAGTAGGATTTCCAGGATTAATGACACAAATAGCCCGAGGGACACAGTTTGATTTAGCTTCATTAATAGCTCTCTTTAACTCCTTTACATCAAGTCCCCAGTGATTCTCTTCATCCAGGTAATAAGGGATTGGATAGGCATTAAATTCTGTGAGAGTTGCTGAGTACAGGGGATACTGAGGGACAGGGATCAAGATACCAGCTCTCTCCTTCCCTAATTTTCCAGTCATCAGCATGGCTAGAATTGTCTTTATTCCATCACTAACTCCTGTACACAACATGATATCTTCTGGTTTGCTAGGAATTCCATCTCTTGAGGCTTGCTGAGTACAGGGGGTACTGAGGGACAGGAATCATGATACAAGCTCTCTCCTTCCCCAATTTCCCGGTCATCAGCATGGCTAGAATTGTCTTTATCCCGTCACTAGCACCTGTACACAACATGATATCTTCTGCTTTGCTAGGAATTCCATCTCTATCAGATATGTATTTAGCAATATCTTCTCTTATTACATATATACCTGGACTGGCCGAGTAGGACCCAATACTGCCCACATTACAGCCCCCTAACAGTCTCTTGGCCCTTTCTTTGACATCTTCAGGAAATCCGCAAGTATCCATCATATCTGGATAGGCACACAGTGACAAAACCTGACGAATGAAGGTGATGGGTGTCTGGCTTGTTGCATGACAGTCACCAATGTTGGCCTTCATTACGGATGTGAAAGGTTTATTGGCACCTTTGGCTAGCTCCTTTTCTAACTCAGTAGCCCTAGCTACTATGGGGCCTCTGACTGCATATTCCATGTCCCTTATATTGGGATTTACGTCATCCATGGTGAGAGCTCTATCTGCCATCTTTGTTCTTGTAGAGTCGGTGGCTGGCTGCTGATAGGCTCCGGTGTTTTGGTTATGCAATGTGTCACGTCTCATGGTCAAAACAGTTGCTTTACAGCTGCTTGCATCGGAAGATCGGAAGATGTGAAACATCACTCCAAGTACAAATCCTAGCGACGATTGAGTTAAACAAAAGTGTGTGTAGTGTCTTACTAGGCAAAGTTTCAAACATCATAAATGATGTTGCAAGTACCTTTTATCTCAACATTGAATTTGCTGAGGGTCTATTATGTGATCAGTCCCAAATAACTTATCACTTTCGTACATCTGGTATGTTAATGTGTGACATACAACAAGCCTGTGAAAGAAAATCTACTTTTCTTTGCAAAACGTGTCCAATTTCTCGAGGGCATCTGATAAAACAGTGACAAAACCTGACGAATGAAGGTGATGGGTGTCTGGCTTGTTGCATGACAGTCACCAATGTTGGCCTTCATTACGGATGTGAAAGGTTTATTGGCACCTTTGGCTAGCTCCTTTTCTAACTCAGTAGCCCTAGCTACTATGGGGCCTCTGACTGCATATTCCATGTCCCTTATATTGGGATTTACGGCATCCATGGTGAGAGCTTTATCTGCCATCTTTGTTCTTGTAGAGTCGGTGGCTGGCTGCTGATAGGCTCCGGTGTTTTGGTTATGCAATGTGTCACGTCTCATGGTCAAAACAGTTGCTTAACAGCTGCTTGCATCGGAAGATCGGAAGATGTGAAACATCACTCCAAGTACAAATCCTAGCGACGATTGAGTTAAACAAAAGTGTGTGTAGTGCCTTACTAGGCAAAGTTTCAAACATCATAAATGATGTTGCAAGTACCTTTTATCTCAACATTGAATTTGCTGAGGGTCTATTATGTGATCAGTCCCAAATAACTTATCACTTTCGTACATCTGGTATGTTAATGTGTGACATACAACAAGCCTGTGAGAGAAAATCTACTTTTCTTTGCAAAACGTGTCCAATTTCTCGAGGGCATCTGATAAATTCAAAGGAATGGCTATCATTCAGGATGGATGTTATTTTTTTTTTATTTAAAATATTAATATTACTAGAATGTATGTTGCTTTATTCCATCTTTTAAAATTTAAATAGTACTTCAAAAGCAGAAGTATATTTGCGTATCCCTTTCTATCTGTAGTTGACATCTGTCTTAGAAAAACATTTTACGATATGTTTTATTTATAACTACGTATTTTATCTATGAGTATATAAGTACATGTATAAGGAACAGGAAGATAATAACCAATTAAAAAGCTTATGAGGTTATCTCGACTTATAAATTTATTACAACGTATTTTTGATTTGTTAAATGATTTGTTGTTTTATGATAGGCTGATGAACCTGAGGAGGAAGATGAAGAGGAGGAGGAGAATTTAGTCAAAGAAAAGAGAAGTATTTTAACTGTGCAATTATATAGAAGTCTGTTCGTGACTTAATTGCTGAATTCCTAGCAATGACATTGAAATTTACACTTGTCTTCATTCTTTTGCTTGTTAATTCACTTCGTTTTTTTCAGACATTTATCTTCTTTTTGATTTTGTTGCAACGAAGATCGAGTCAATATTTGAAGCCAGGAATCTTTGCATCGAGTTACCTGGTGACCAGTTTGTCTTGGAGAATGATAAAAAACATTTGCAAAGAGTTCTGTTTGATGCCTTAGTGACATGGATCGAAAGAAATCCTAGCATGGAGAATTTGGAAATTCTTACTCGGGCACTCCAAAAAATTAGTAGATGTGATTTTGTAGATAAAAATTCACTACATTGAGCATACGGACTACACGGAACATTATGTGCCACATCCAGATTTGGACATAAAGCAGTCGGACATTAAAGCAATTGTAAAAGACGCAGCCGTTAACTATCACGAGATTGGGCTATTTCTCAGATTATCACCACAGAAACTAAAACAAATTGAATTGGACTATCCTTCTGATGTACGTGGAAAAATGCATCAGGTCTTATCACAATTGCCTGTCAGTCGCCAGATGACCATTAACAGTTTGAGGTATATTGAAAGAATAGACCTGATTGCTAAACTTACGGCTCGGTGGAATTGAAGTTTATCAAATGCCAAGCTAAACGAGATATATTGTGTTCATTTATGTTGAATCTCATTTCCTTTTGTTTGTATGTAACTTATAGTCTGTAAATTTTGTTTAACGTATACGGTGTACACTTTGTTTCGAATTTAATGGTAATTAAAGCTTACTTTTATATCATGCCTCATGTCTGTTTAAATGATACACAACGCGCGCGTTTCTATATCTGAACTAAAAAAGCAGCGGAAACATTACCCCGTGGAAAAAAGTACGTCTACAGTAATTAAAATAGTGAGAAGATACATTGTACATCGATTTCTTAATTATTGCAAGTTTGGGGAGTGTAATATATGCCACACTTTTGATGATGTACAGTATTGCATTTTTAGCCGGGCTTATTGCTCAAAGAGCAATTGCCGGCTTATGTGATCCTGTTCAAGGCCGGATGTTAACCCCATAGTCGCCATTTCCAAGTTACGTGCAAAAATATAGTTCTTACTCTTATCTTTTGAGATAAAACGAACGCTAAATAAAGCAACAAAAATAAAACGAAGTTTTATCTATATAAAATAAACATTAGTAGTAATGACTTTGAAAACTTCATATGTCAAAGAACATAGTTCATTAGCCTAAGGATTTTTGATAATCAGTGTTACCGTAGTTCTCTACACACACGAGGTAAATCAGCAGAGGGAACCAGACTGGCCTGTTTGTTTACATTCAGCTGCGGTACCAGATTAATTCTGATTCTGACAAAATCGGACCGTGGTATTAGGATTGAAAAACTCACTGTCAGTGTCTTATCATTTATATTGATAGTTTTAAAATAATTTTTTCATCAGAATATAAACATGTAAGAAATCCATGTAAGAAATTCTACTCTGTAAATGAGCCCGGCTCTCTGTACTTCTGAGTACTTTGATTTTGCATTTGAACGAAATTACACTAGCCTTATTTATATGAAACGTATGATTGCTAAACCTGCATATTTTAACACGGGTAATTTTTTTTTTGTCCTTTTATTTTTCAATAAGAATCTTCTTGACATTTTATAAAATGTAATGATAATTTATATAAAGTTTAAATACCCGGTATGTATCAATGAATAACAAAAAATGCTTTGTTTTATAAACAGTGTTTTTAAACATGGAGCTATAGAATTTATTTAAATATTCTTCATTTTTATGCCACCGTAAATGAAGTTTCGATGGTATTTAGTTTTTGCTCTGTCCGTCCGTCTGTCCAGCTGTCTGTTTGTCAGCAAAAAAACTGTCCGCATCGTCATTTTACTTTGTGACATTGACCTTGAAGTTGCAGGGCCGTAACTACCATTGAGGCAAGTGAGGCAAATGCCTCACTAAATTTTTAGAGTTTTTTGAAAAGTGAAAATGTTTTACATTGTATATGTGTGTCTTTGTGCTAAATTAATATTTTAAACTTTTATTTCCATTTCTGTAAATCTTTCATCTCCCCACGTGCCTCATTTTCATTAAGAGAGCATGTAAATTTTAATTCAAAATATTTATTTTGTAAATTGTTCGATTATTTAACACCCCTTCTAAGAATTTCTTATTCATATTGAAATACTTGCTGATGGAGGGCTGCAAGTTTTAAATCTGTACTGGGCTTTCTGGATCACTGAAGATGATTGAACATTGAGAGGTCTTTTTGTGCCTTCACTTATTGTGACATATATCTCGGTTTTCACAGTCTCAATAAATAAATAAATTTCCAGATTATCCAAAGAACCTGTCTCTACATCCTGCAGTGGGATTCGAACCTGTGATGTAAGGATCAATTCCTTAGTCTGCGACTATAGAGCATACGCTCTAACCACTGCGCCATGCGGGCGAAAATTCAAAACGTAAAAACTTTTTAAGATTAAATCTTTTATTTTCCAATACCCAGGTTTCAGGACCTCCCTCCCCTAGGAAACCTCAATCACTGGTCATGAGGTACTACCCTTGCCCCGTCTGAGACTAGGAATGCCCAGCACCCTTGCCTCACTAAAAATTTGAGCCTAGTAACGGCCTTGAATTGTCCTGTTCTAACAAAATGATACCTGCACACTTTAACCTTGTCCATAACTTTTGAACAGTTGTACTTACATGTAAGTCTTCACATGTGTATTCATTGTGACAAGACAGTTTAGTGGGTACCTGTATAAATATTTTGACCCTGACCTTAGAGTTTGACCTACTTCTGAAAACCATTAGCTTTGACCAAAATTTTGAACAATTAGAACAAGGCCTTTCGTATATATTTCAGGTGTATTCCTTGTAACAAGACCTTCCTTTGGGTACTGACACTTTTGATTTTGACATATGGAGTCTGACATGCATTTGAATACAGTTAATCCTCGCCATAAGAAGCCATACAGATGCATGTCTTTCACAAGCACATGTTTCTTTTTACATTATGTCTCCATAATTTTTGTACTGTCCGTATGTTTGTCTGTTTATCTGTTGGTCCTCGAAACTTTAATCCTTTTCCATAACTTCTAAGAGGGTTGGGCTATGGCTTTATTCCTTGTGAGAAGACCTGACTTTTTGGTACCACCAAAGAAGAAAGTTCACATTGGTCTATCTTTGGCCCTGTGAATTTCTGAAAAATAAGAACTACTCAGACCCTTGGTGACTTCATATCAAATAAAAATGACGTAATTTTTTCTCTTGTCTATGTATTATGACGTCATGAATTTCGTCATTTTCCTCAAATCTTGAAAATTTAGTTAAAAATGACCAAATATTTAAGCTGTTTTTTAATATTTTGCATAGCCCCCAACCTCTGATCTAAAATGTTGAGTTATATAATGAAAGAACTGTTTTAGAATATTCTAATCCATGAAAGAATTTTTGGATCGCAGGGTGGGCTCATATGTTTATCAAAAGTTGAAGATGCTCCATTTGACCCATTTTCTTCAAAAATCAAGAACATTGCAGTTTCACAACGCCTGAGTTTCTAAACTTAGACTCTCAGAGGAAATTTTTTTTATAGGAAATGAAAGTACTAAGTCTCTACTTTATGTTGATGAACGACATAGGACGTAAAGACTTGGTCGGTGAATTAGTATATTGACAGGGCCATTTTATGGAGTACGTGAATCTACCTCTTTGACTTCATGACCTTGAATTTGACTAACTTTTACCAACAATTTCTTAACTTAACCACAGTCATATAACTTTTGATTAGTTGGCGTTAGACATTTAATTCATCCTACAATTGTGTATAATCACTGAGACAAGACCTTTCATTTGATATTAAAAAATGACCTTTTGACCTTGACCTTACAGTTTGACCCTGTCTTGAACAAATTTCAACCTTCACCATAACTCTTGAACCGTAAATAGTACTACGGCTTTCATATTTCACAGTTTGACGTATTTAATAAAATTAACCATGACCATAACTTTTTATTCAAAAGTACTAGGTCTCTCTATTTCCAAGTTGCATATTTTACATGTACATTAGTGTCAAAAACATGATATATGACCTTGACGTTTGACCTTTATCTGTAACAACACCTATCCGAATGAACTATCATGATTTTGTACCCCATGACCTTAAGCTTGAATATAAGCGGATATTATGTTCGTGAGGAGAAGTGACTTTTAGTCCGAGTTAAAGGCAAGGGATAAAACCTTGCATGATGCAACAAAAGGAGTGAGATTCGAGTTCGTTGGAGGAATGTCGCCGATGGCCTACGTTCCTGACAGTATCACAGGCCTTAAGTAAGTTATGTTTGTCTACGTTCATGTATATCTAGACTGAAAAAGCTGAAGTTTTCCGGGGTTTATTTACGATTTTGATATTTTGCATGCCAGGGAAATGTCAGAACCGGTGCCATTACGAAAACTGGAAATTTCGCCCTCTCGAACCGGAATTTAATTTTGATACTTGCGAACCGAACTAAATGCCAAAATCAGAATTTATTTATCATGTCGATAGCACAATGCCTCGATCTTACTACTCACTAAGATTGTTTGAAGAAAACATCACTCCACATTTCGTTAAAGAACTTGCAATTTCGACTGTCTGATAAAAAGCTATCAGCGGATTTTTAGTACTTAAAGTATTGTACTATCGATAACTTGTACCTCTGGAATTGAATTCGGTTCGCAAGTATCTAAATGACGCCTCCGGTTGGAGGCGGCGATTTCCTGGTTTTCGTACACGCGGTTCTGACGTTTTTCAGGCACCTAAAATATCGTGGAAAAAAGCCTAGAAAACGTCAGATATTTTGGATTAGTCGATGTATATGTTGCAAAACGTCTGTATAAATTTTAGGCAATTGAGAATTACATATGTGGTTAAAGGGAAAGACACTATACAATTGTTTGTTATAATAAGTGACAGCAACATCCAACAGCAGAACAAGACTGTGAATGTCGTATTTTTTCAAAGTCACTGCAAGACCGGGTGCAAGATGTTTCGGGACCACGACGTTTCGGGACCTGACAAATACGACGTTTCGGGACTAGCGACAAGACGGTTCGGGACTTGGGTAAAGACGATTCGGGACTTGTGTTAATTTTTTTCGGGATCTCAACAAATTATTTTATCATGGTGATATAGCATTAAAAAAAATATTATTCTAAGTACACATATACGTAATATTTCAAGCTTAATCCGCAAGACCTCATCTTAGGGGTCAATCCTGCTGATTTTATTATTTCAGTATATATATGCATGCAAATTAATAGAAAATATGGAACGCCATCACTGCCTTATAGCATAAAACTATGCATTCATTATGTCAATCTATCATTACGTGATGTGAACATATCTTTACGTTATGTCAATTTCTTATGGGGTGATGTAAAAATATCTTTACATCATGTCCATGCTGCATTACATGAAGTAAACACATTCTTCCATTATGTCAGCACTTTATAACTTGAAGTCCAAAGTTCATTATATGAAGTGAAAATATGTTCACATTGTGTTAAAATTTTATTACGTGAAATGAATGTTTCTTTATATTATTTCATTTCTTTAATATGTGAGGTCAAAATTGCATTACGTCAAGTAAATTGTGTTTTATAATTGAACTTATCATTACATGAAGTCAAAATTCCATTCCTTTTTGAGAATGTATATGTCTATTATATCAAAGCATTATTACGTGATATGGATTTATCTTTATTTTACGGCGAGAGCATCATGATGTAAAGTGAACACATCTTACTTTATGTCAGTGCTTTATTACGTGGTGTTAAAAGTGTATAACATAATGTGAACATATCTTTATATTATATCAACACTTTATTACATTATGTCAAAACTCTATTCCGTGATGTGGATATATAATTACGTTATGTCAACTCTTTCTTATGTGATTTAAAAAATATCTTTATATTGTGTTAACTCTTTATCATGTTGATTCCAAAAGTTTTGATGTGAAAATACATTTACATTATCTGAAAGTTGTATATCTAGTATAATAATGAATGTTGACGACCGAGTTTTAATGACTCGTAAGAGGGGGGGGGGGGGTCCCCATTGAGTAGGACGAATTATAGACACATAATATCAGCCCCCCCCCCCCCCCTCTTTTCCCAGACATAACCTTATTTTAGAAAAGTATAGTCCACTAGGGGTAATGTAGTATAACTGAAAAAATATAGAACTGATCGAAGTCGGACCCCCTCTCCGAAATAGGATTTTCGGGCTTGGACAATTTTTTTGGCTTGTCGAGTTTTTTTCGAGTAAATAATTTTTTTCTTTCTGGCTGACATCCTCTTTCAACTAAATGCTATGTCACGGAATTAGTTACTGTAATTTTTTCAACCATTCCAAGACCAGAATTCTGTTACAAAAATCTACCAGTCCCTCTTCTAAATCAATTGAATATGCCTTAATAAGCATGCATGGGCACATATTTGTGGCGCATATGGGAATCTTGAAAAAAGAAGGGGGGCGGTATAGAGTTGGTGACCAAAGGGAGTGAGCGGAAAAACTCTCCGGCAGGCTAAAGAGTTTTATAGAAAAAAGTTTTCAATTTAATTCAGCTAAACTTAATGTGAAAGTAATGCAATGTCCTACATTGTAAAACTAATAAATTTATTAATTTTATGTATATTTTGGTGACTAAAGATAGTAGGGCGGGATTTCTGCCCCCCCCCCCCCTCCCCAACCCGCCAGTGCACGTGTGTTATACGATATATCTGTATACACTTTAAAAAAGGAGAGTTAAAGACTGATAAAAAATAAAGTGTTCTAAGTAAGATCAGAAGTTTAAGATTTTTATTAAAAAAAACAATTTAAAAGAAAAATAAATGCTGCACGACTTATATTTGATTTATTTAATTATCAGATAAAAGTAAATGCCATTGAATTTCGACGCGTGACTTTAATTCACAGTCGCAGTGTTAAGGCTTTGCAAGTTTCAAGATTGTCAATCATTTTTCGCTTAAAGTTTTCATTTAAAGATGCAATTCCCAAATTGCTGAGAATTTATTTTATGACAGTTTTCTCTCCCGCCATTTTTAGTGCTTTCGGAAAGCGGAAAATACGTTATGCTCATATAAAGGCCGAGGATACCCGTGTTCGCATAACGTAATAGTGAATCGACATAATGTAGAAGAGTGCGCACAGTATGACATGAGCTTTTCACATCTGATATGAGATGAAATAGCCTAAGATACATGTATGCTGACAAGAGACTTAGCATTTTTGACACAATGTAAAGACACAATGACATAACGTAATAACGATTTGTCAAAAAGTAAGGGCAAATTCTCATCATGAAATTGATTCACGTCGTCATGTAGCATACTGAAGGCATAAAGTAGTAAAAGAATTGACCACATGTGACAATTTTTTCAGATAATGTAATGAAATTCTGACATCGTGTTATAGCGAATTGATATTGAGTTAAAGATAAATTCACATCATGTAATGAACTACTTAGACCAAATTGTAGAGAGTGCACATAATGTAATAATGAGTTGAAAATATATAAAAGCATTTTTACACCACGTAAAATTGTTTTGACTTAATGTCATAAAGAGCTGATATAATGCAATGGAAGATTGGCACAATGTAATTAAAGTACGACTTAATGCCATAAAGACTAAACATATTGTAATTGAAAGTTGATATAACGCAATAGTAGTGTGTGTAATTGCCATAAGGAGTTGACATAATGTAATGAAAGGTTGACACAATGCAATAGTAGTGTGGACTAATGTCATAAAGAGTTGACATGATATAATGGAAGGTTGACATAATGCAATAGTATTGTGGGTTAATGTCATAAAGAGTTGACATAATATAATGGAAGGTTGACATAATGCAATAGTATCGTGGGTTAATGTCATCAAGAGTTGACATAATATAATGGAAGGTTGACATATTGCAATAGTATTGTGGGTTAATGTCATAAAGAGTTGACATAATATAATGGAAGGTTGACATAATGTAATAGTATTGTGAGTTAATGTCATAAAGTGTTGACATAATGTAATGGAAGGATGACGCAATGCAATCGTTGTGTTCTGCTATAAGGCAGTGACGGCGTTCCATAAGAAAATATATAAACCTATACATTATATTACACAGAAGTATGGAGTACTGGATCGAAAAAATAAACAAACTGTACAAACCATACCTTTGTAATATTTCTTTCAATTACCATACAAATTACCTTGTACAAAATGTGCATTTTTAAAAATAAAGTTGGAAATTATATCACAATACAGACAATATTTATTAGTTTAAAAGGCTAAAAGTGTTTGCCCTTATCTCTTTTTTAGATTTATGAAATAATTAAACATTCATTGACAACTACGATAAAAGTCAATTTTCTAAGTAAAATTATAATTGATATAATCAAACAAAAAAGAATTTATACACAGTTCAATTTCTGTTAAAAATGAAAATACTTACATGTAGTAATCTATGAAAAAATATGCAATAAATTAATGAAAAAAAACCAGTCCATGCTCCCTAACAGTCACCCAAGTACCTTGAGTTTTCTAAGACTGTTTTAATACTATGAAGAAAAAATATATACACATATATTTAGGTAAAGGTTTATAGATATTAAAGTTGCTGGTAAAATTATACTCTTTTGTTAAATCTTAAAGCAGTCAAATATAATCTGTGGGCAAAAAAACATATTCCTTAGACAAAGTAAATAGTTACTGTTAATAAATATGTAAGACTCCAAAGTCCAATGGTGACGCCAAAGTCCGATGGTCTCGCCAAACCCGATGGTCTGCGCCAAACCCCGATGACACGCGGTCTTTACGGACGCCAAAGTCCGATGGTCACGCCAAAGTCTGATGGCTCGTTTCCTATGAGATGCGCGACGCTAAAGTGCGATGGTCTGACACGCCAAAGTCCGATGGTGCGAAGGAACAATCAACGTTTATGACGTCACTATAGTCCGACGTTATGGCGTTGTCCTGCATTCAAAATCCATTGATTTAGTATTTCTCCTGCTTACAATTTTACTGATTGTGCCTATTGTTTTCGCCACCCAGAGCTATTAGGGTTAGTCCTTGTACACCATTCGACTGATTGGGTTAGTTCTTGTACACCAATGTGTTTCTTCAAACTCATCCAAGAGATTTATGGTTAGTCCTCGCACACTTTTGGACTGATTTGGATTAGTCCTGCACCCATCCAAGATACTTAGCTTATTGTTTTTACACATTTTTCGACTGATAAGTGTTAGTCTCGCACCTATATCCATCGCATTTTTGCGCAGCAGTACTATGACGTCATAAACGTTAGTTGTTTTCTGCACCATCGGACTTTGGCGTGTCAAACCATCAGGGTTTGACGCAGACCATCAAACTTTGGCGTGACCATCGGACTTTTGAGTCCCATCGTACTTTGGAGTCCTACAAATATATTCTTTAAAATCAAAGGGACTTGTCAAGCTTAAACATATTTACCTCTATGACAAATTTTTAAAAAAGATACAGTTTAACAATATGGCACAAATTCCATTTACAACAATAAAATAGTTAAAAATTGTACTCTGTGACTTACACATGAATTCAGTTGCTTTTGTCTTGGATCTTGTAAACCATGGTTACATTTCGTCACTTTTCTTTTTTCTCTGCTTCTATTTTTTTTTTCATTTTATAGCATTAAATGGCAAAAATAAACATAATACACTGTATACGCTTTTAACTGTTTCTATAACTAATTAATGTAAAAATATTTGCAAAAAAAAATATTTTACATCAGTTTCATGGTTACATTTGAAAAAATACTCCATCATGTAAATCTTAAGTTATAATTGTTTTAGATTTTGAACACCTGACATATATGCATTTTGATTCTTAAAAAAAGGGGGGTTCTATTGTAAAAGTGTTAGCATTAAGATGAATTCTACAGGAGTGACTAGGAGAATTATGAACCTTTAGCAACAACCTCAGCTCAGCTGGAACAACAATAAAAAGCACCAAACTACATCTAGTGGGCGGGGCATCAATCCCCACATATACATATACTTAACATGTTGAAAAAAACATACATAGATATTTTCCACAGGTACTTTGATTCCGAAATAATATTATAACCTATGGTAAAATAATAATAACATGTAGATACCATACTACGGGTTAACGTTTTTATTACAGAATCAAGTGTCTGTGACATTTTCATATAAAAACAAAAGCTCTGTGGGTAAGGTACATAAACAAAGATAAAATTTAAAAGTACATGTTTACTTTTGTAGAAGTATTCTTGTGATCAATGTTAAATTGTAATACAATATATTTCTGTGAAATACTAACAAGAATGTATATCTATTAGAGAAAAGGTTATCATTGACTTCCATTCAGTTTATGAAACATAAACAATATTTAAAAACTTTCCTGGAGCAATTTTATAAAGAAATTTTTTTAAAAATGCACTAAAATAATAGTAACAAAGTAATTATTTCCAGGGAAATCAGATAAAATTCAAGGATAAAAATAATTGGTTAAATACTGTGCTGAAGAGCATTATTTTACTCAAAGCCATGTACTATTTACAGCAACAAACAATATTCATATTTTAAATGCAGCCACATTCAACTTTTCTCCTCCTATTCTAGAGCTTCACTTCTTATTCCTATAAAAGAGAAGAAAATATTGAATTTATAGACAAATACTTTAAAGTATTTCGAACTTGAGAGTTGTCCTATTTTCCTAAATCTTACTAATCTCCGAAACTTTCAATTCGAAAAAGTACTATTATGTTCATTTCTGAATTATCTAAATATTTCTTACATTATAACAAAATCACATATGGGCATTCAAGGAATAAGGTACGTACATGTAATCATGATTATTATTACGTATTTACAACATTTTTTGTTTCGGAATTTACCTGAACTAGTTAGATTTGTAGCGTGCTAAGAAAGCCAGGTGAAATTCCTTAAAGCGCTCCAGAGCCGATGTCATCTCCTCTATTTTAGGGAGGATAGTGATCCTGAAATGGTAAGTACCCTCTTTCTCTCCAAACCCACTCCCCGGCACCACGCAGATCCCAGTAGTCTCCAGAAGCTGGAAGCAGTAGAAGGCATCAGGGGTCTGGTTTCTTTTCTTGGCTTCCTCTATCGCAGCTGGAGGTAGGAAGATTCTTGGAAATGCATACATAGCCCCCTGAACTTCATTGCATTTAATGCCCTCTATAGAGTTAAACAGACTTGTGACCATACTTGCTTTTTTCTTTAGGAGAGCCAGGACATTGTCTTTTTCTTGTTTGAATTTTTCATAAGAGGGCTCTCCTGATTTTGGAGGATTAGTGATGCAGTCCATGACAATTTGTCCTATAATTGGTGGACACAGTTTGGCTGATATGGACTTCATGAGACAAGCCTTAACATCAGGGAGTAAATTGACCACCTCTGCATATCCTCCTCTAGCACCGCACTCCCCCATAAATCCTTTAGATGCAGACATGAAAGAGGCCAGCTCCATTTTATTGTATTCAGGGCCCATTTCTGACAGCACTTTCTTAAAGGAGAAAAACTGGCAGCCTTCTCCCCATATATTATGTTGGTATACCTCATCAGCTAGTATCATCAGTTTTTCCTGCTTAGCAAACTTGATAACATCTTCAATGTTTTGTCTGGTAAGAACTTGTCCAGTGGGATTTCCAGGATTAATGACACAAATAGCTCGGGGGACACAGTTTGATTTAGCTTCATTTATGGCTCTTTTTAACTCCTTTACATCAAGTCCCCAGTGATTCTCTTCATCCAGGTAATAAGGGATTGGATACGCATTAAATTCAGTGAGAGTTGCTGAGTACAGGGGGTACTGGGGGACAGGAATCATGATACCAGCTCTCTCCTTCCCCAATTTCCCGGTCATCAGCATGGCTAAAATTGTCTTTATCCCGTCACTAGCCCCTGTACACAACATGACATCTTCTGGTTTGCTAGGAATTCCATCTCTATCAGATATGTATTTAGCAATATCCTCTCTAATTACATCTATACCTGGACTGGCCGAGTAGGACCCAACACTGCCCCCTTTACAGCCCCCTAACAATCGCTTGGCCCTCTCTTTGACATCCTCAGGAAATCCGCAAGTGTCCATCATATCCGGATAGGCACACAGTGACAAAACCTGACGGATAAAGGTGATGGGTGTCTGTCCTGTAGCGTGACAGTCACCAATATTGGCCTTCATCACGGATGTGAAAGGCTTATTGGCACCTTTGGCTAGCTCCTTTTCTAACTCAGTAGCCCTAGCTACTATGGGGCCTCTGACTGCATATTCCATGTCCCTTATATTGGGATTCACGGCATCCATGGTGAGAGCTTTATCTGCCATCTTTGTTCTTGTAGAGTCGGTGGCTGGCTCCTGATAACCTTTTGTGTTTTAGTTATGCAATGTGTCACGTCTCAGGGTCAAAACAGTTGCTTAACCAGCTGCTTGCATAAATCTACAAGATCATAAATAACAGTTAAATTCTAAAAACAACACACCTTTCCGTTTCATATGTACCAAAACTGAAATATCAACGTGTGATTATTGTTGATTAATTACAAACCGGCCGAAAAACAAACACCTAAGCTAGAAGAATCAGGACTGACACTAGGTGAAAGGAGGCAGTTCGGGAAGTTTTTTTAAGTCACAACAAGTAAACGTTTAAAACAGGGAAAACGGGAAAGTAAGGAGGAAAACGTTTGATAAACACAGAAAAAATTACTTGGATAATGCATACGTATTTTATTCCACTATTTTTAATGATTTAATTCCCTATATCGCTATATTTTCTTTCATTATTTGTTGTTAAAAGTCTTACTCGTGTTTTTTTTTCAAATATATATCAGAGATTGCTTAAAAGCGACAGTTATATTAAAACTATCAAAAGGGCCGGGAGAAAATCGAAATATTTAGCGTACAAACTATGCAGCACCGAATAGGCCCATAAAAAGGTGAAAGGTAAACATTTCATTTTTATCGAATTATCAACGAATAAAGATAAAATCAACATTACAATCGATCTTTAAAAGAGACTATAAAAGAGACTATAAGTAAAGAAACACCGAAATTAACCCTACAACTATAGAACATGACAATTTTTCGAATTTCTCTCTGCCACAGGGACTTGCTCCTGGCGTGTAAAAAATATTTATAAAAAAAAAAACATAAACGATATACTATAAACCGTAGTTTATAGTATATCGTTTATGTTTTTTTTAATAATAAATATTTTTTAGTTTATAGTATATCGTTTATGTTTTTTTTTAATATGTTTTACGGTGTGACCGTTGGGGCGAGCGCAGTTTATTTACTATCATAAACCTACACATGTACTGTCTATCATTCAAGAAAAAGAAAGCAAAAAGAATAAAACAAAACAATAAAAAGAAATCATTTCCCAAGCATCGGGATCGAGATTCCAAACTTCTCGGAAGTTTCTGACAAAATCGGAAATACCCGAGCCGTTGAAGTGACGAAAGTATGACGTCAGATAAAAAGTTCTGTTGACTTAGGACGCAAACGCTAGTTTTATGGAGAAGAGATTGCATTAAATCGTTCTTTTCAAGTAAGTTGTTGCTGTGTTTTAGCCACCATGTTGCTATGCACTGCAACATGTTTTCCGAGTTTCACGGAAGCAACCGACATAACTTCGTCAAAATTCGTAAGTTTCCGGTGACGTCATTTGTATCATTTCCGAAGGGCAAGGTGAAGGCCGGTGTTGTGGCATGGGGGTATTTTTTTGAATAAGGTAAGGCAAAATCATTTCGTTAAGATTTCGGTAAGAAACAATGTTCCTTTAATTTTTTTACTATTTTTGATTTATTCGCGCAAAGGACATTGGGTAGTGCAGGAATTCTGGGAATGTTGCACAGAGAAATTTGGCTGACGTATGTACAGATTTCAATCCGAATTTCCTCTGTTCATACACGATAGTCTATTGAGCTCGCTTCGTGAGCGTCGCTTTGCGACGCTCGCTGCGCTCGCTATAAATATTTTTTACACGCCAGGAGCAAGTCCCTGTGGTTCAGCACAATATCTTCATTAAGCTGTATAGCTTTAGATAGCTAAATACAATTATTAAGCTAATCAAGTTAGCTTAAAAAGTTATTTATATGTTGTTTTTCACAAAAACGTTTTCTGTAAGAAACAAACAAAAAGTCGCAAGGTTTTAGGTATTGGAGTAACTTTTCATATAATGATATATACTCAGGTCTGGTACAATCACTAGATTTAGCTACGTAGCTTGATTTACCTACATAGCTTTATTTACCTACCTAAGGTAGCTTTATTTAGCTACCAAATGGGTTTATTTCTATTTAAAATCATTTTTCTTAGGGTGTGCAGAAAATATCATTTTGATGCAGTGATCATTTTCAACTTTGAACTCAGCTGAAAACAACTCATGAAAAAATCCCTCTTGGAAAAATGTCTTTTTCTGCGCAATTGCAATCAAAGTTCTGAAAGTTTTGGGGCTATGTATGACAGTTAGAGCAGTTATCACTTGGATGAAATGACAAAGAAGTCCAGTTCCGGTTAACACGATAATAGGTCGGTAATTCTTCATTACGATGTGAAGTAATCATACTCAGTCATGCCTCACCGCACGGACAGCTAACCAAACAACGGAATTACATGTTTTGCTCTAAATTGTCCAAACGCGGCAATGATAAACTATCTCTGCTCTGGATTGTTTTTTTAAGCCTCCCTAGTATAAATATTAATAGTCATTTAATTGCGACTTTTTGTCTCTTTTTAATAAAAAAAAATTTTTGAAAACTTACCTTGAAATAGCTAAATAAAGCTACCTGAGGTAGGTAAATAAAGCTACGTAGGTAATTCTACCTACGTAGCTAAATCTAGTGATTGTACTGGACCTGATACTCGCTTCTCATTATATCGCGGGTTCCATTGTATCGCGGTATATTCCAAAAATTCAGATACATAGCTCATAATTATCCTTTCTGTTAAAATACCATCTGTTTGTCGTTCGAATGTAAACTTCTGTGATGATTAAAAAGTATGGAACGTGTGTTGGTAATTTTTCTTTATTCAAATAAAACGTAATTTTACAGATTTCCATTCCCGTTTTTATCAAATTTAGATCATTGATCTTATAACCTAGTAAAACCCATAAAAAAGTTCATGTTTCAAAAGTCTTTAGTTTGTATAATTGTTTATTTTTTATGTGGAATTACATCTAAATATAAAAATAAAAATTGAAGTCCATGTCAGCCACAAGTTTCCATGTTTTCCTATACCGCGATACTATGAGACTCTCCATTTTAGGAGGTAATTAAGACTTCCCGTTTTAAAAATAGACAACAAATTAAACAATGCAAACTTGAGAAATAATTTGACTCTAAAAAGTTAGGCCATAGATTGATTTATGGATAGTATTTGATGAAAGTTAAAGAAAAAAATTGGAATAACACTTTTTATGCAAAAGGGTTAACCCCTTAACGGCCAAGTGCGCCTTTTGACGCATTTTCAGCATCGCAGTGATTTAACTGTTGGCGTTTTGTAAATAATTGGGATACAACAAAACAGTTGATATTTTCTGAAACTAGAGAAAAAACACAACAATTTTTCTATTATCAGTTTTTCTCTGCGATGTTAAGAAATTATTGTAAACTTAAATTGAACATTGAATATAATTGCGGGAAGTTAGTAAAATTACGCATAAATGAGTGATTTTGTGCTATCTTCTGTAGGCTGTATCTCACTTACAGAACACGATAAAAAAAAATGAATGCCATATTCTAAAAGCGGGGAATTTTCCCTACATTTTCTTTATTGGACATTAAAAGGTACAAGCATCCGTTACAGAAATATTTGCTGTTGAATATTGGAACTTTTTCGAGTAAAACAAAAAAAAGCACTATGACGTCATCTAACGGTTTGCGTGTACACAATGATATCATTCATGAGCTCGGTCTTAAATAAATCGATTCTTTTAATATATTGAAGAGATTTATTTTTGAAAGGAATCATTTATAAAGAAGAGTTTATATACGAAACGTTTTGAGTCATAAACATGCAATAAAGGGAATTTTCATTAGCTTTAAAATATATGTAAGTGATAGTTCTTGACCCAACGCCCTGATTTCGCGCACCCACTGTTTCAGTGTCATTCCTACATGTAGTAGGAATAATTTATAAAGTAATCAGGTATTGTCGTTACCATTTTCGTACTTTTCGGATGTGTTATTAAAAGTTAAAAAAAAAATATACAAGCTTATAAATCTTTTTTCGAGTCCTTAGGCTAGTATTTTAAATGTACTTTGAAAGGAAAAGCTGTCACAATGACAAAACATATTAGGAGTTAAAATATCGATGAAAGATATATTTTTGCTAATGCACAAACTGCATTTAACTGACGCGATTATTTTTCTTACCCTTATCTTTATCTAATATAAAACGAATGTATAGGAACATGAAAATAAAACAATGAATATACACTGAGATATTTATTTTTTAAAAATCGGGAAACTTAATTTCGTTTGAATTATTTCCCTTTCTGTTACCATGGTTATTATATACACAGGGAGAGACATAGCACGGAACAGTCATTCTAAAAAAAAAAAAACAAACAAACAAGCATGGACAATTAATAATTTTTTTTTTTTTCATGTCACTTACAGATTTGCCCTTATAATATCTTAACTATAAATTTTAAGATCGAATTCAGCTCTAATATATAAACAATACACGCATGTTTTATTTTTTTTTTTTTTAATTTTTTTTTTTTTTTTTTTGTTTTTTTTTTTTAAATATTTACCAATATATATGTAGTTAAAGTGTAGATATGAACATCATGAAGGCCTAATGTTGAAAACGTATTCCAATGGAAATCTTAATGTCGCTTCTTTTATATACAAATTTTAAGACGGGATTCGCAGCCTTAAAAGCGTTCCTAACAGACTGCGATGAATGTTAAATAAGTTTTTTTATCTTGAATAAAAAATGAAATCAAACCACTTCTCGAAAAAGAAATGCATGATCTTCTTTCATAAGTAATCATAGCATATCGCTAAAAATTAATTAACTTCAGTACTGAGTTTGCTCTACATTTCACGGACAGATTATTTGCAGGTTTCAAAAATAACTGAAATTTACCAAAAAAAACCTTATATCATTAATACTAGTTGCGAGTCAGTTATTTATTTTTAAGACAATGCCTTTTTAGATATAACAGACTGAACTGGAGAAAAACATCTACTTCCAAAATGGTAATTCAGGAAGGATTTTGCATGACAGATATAATTTTTTCATTCTTTGGGGAGCGAAATTCTTCATACTTTTATTTTATATCCTAAAACAAGCTTTGATTTTAACTATTGCAGAGAATTTTAACTTTTATTATAAAAGTTGGAGAATTGACTTCCCTAACCTTAACTTCGTAACGATATTTTTACCGAAATTTTAACTTAATTTTGGATATGTGAGACTTCATAAATCATACATTTGTGTCTATACTAGACATCAGAAACAAACAATTGGTCATATTTAGCTTTCTTTAAAAAAAATAATGGGACTGGATCAAGTACTAATTCCGTAATATTACCTAAAAAAAACAATGGCCATGGAATTTTAAAATTGTATTTAAAAAGTAATCGATGCAAGAGTTGTGGACAATTTTTTCCCCAAGTTCAATGATATGTCTTTAAGAAAATTATAATTACGTTTTTGCTTTTTGAAACAGTTATTTCTTTCATGATTTATATAATGAATTCGTCCATTTATCGTAGAATGACTCGATATTACATGTAAAGTTGGGTATCGAAGTGGGACATACAATGGAAATATATGCATTGTCGTCGGAAGCAAATTGAAAGTGGAAGGGGGCAAAGTAAAGGAGAAAAAATATTCAAGTTACCAAAAACTTGAAGAGCGAAAAAAAAAAATTGTCCTTCGTCCTTCACGAAAATCCTATTTCGGGGAGGGGGAGGGCTAATATCGAACTTCTCTCAATACAATTTCTTTCTAAACCTACGCTCCAATGTTCATTGTCTATATTATGGTTATCTTTGTAAAAAAGAGACCCTAGCCCCCACCCCTGGTTCCGACGCCTATGATATAAAAATTTGTAAAGCGATTCAGATTCCGTTTTTTTCTATTGCGACTTTGAATAAAAAACGGAAGAAAAATCGTGTTTTGTCAGACACAGACAGAGATGCTGTCACTGAATTGCAAGAAACTTGTTTTCTGTGTAAACCATAATGAGAAGGACCCCCATCACCCGCAATAACCAACTTTTTACACCGCAGGTTCAAAATGTATCGCAATATTCCTTTTTTTAAAAACGTTCTCGGAAATTGATATCTACATGTATTATGAATATATTTATACAAGTACCAAGTCCAAGAAAAGACATTTACATGCAAGTCTAATATATGTAACCTTTGAACTACTACATACGCGTTCACTGTGAATGCCTAAGTACACCGATAATCAACACTCAAGCCACGGTCCAGAGTCCACTTGTAGCCTTCAGATTGAAAGAGGATTTTGGCCGTGATTAGAGAGACACGAAGTATGCACAAGAAAATGCGAAGTGTTTGTCATCTTAACATTTTGTTCCCAGTGCATGTATTTTACCTTAGGTCCCTGAAAAAAAAAGTTTGGTGATTTTCCTTTGCATAAGCCTGCACTGATATAGTGATATTACCACCTAAAAATATTGAAGATCTATAACAATGAAACGAAATCCAAAAAATGAAAAACTCAAACTTTAATCTATATTGCGCTGTCGCCCCACGCGGGCTCAGGGAAAAGTTGCCCAAAGTCGAAAATCCTATTTCGGGGGTGGGGGGGGGGTGTTGTAGGTAAACTTTTTCTCAGTGTCAACTACTTTCAGTACCAATTCTAATACTACATTTTCGGTACATTACTAAATGTCTAAAAGTGTGGGGGGGGGGCAACCAGGCTTTCAATTAACATTTCCTTTAGTATAAGTAAGGTTGGGAAAAAAAGTGGGGGCCAGCCCCCCCCCCCCCCCCCCCCCCCCCCTGGCCCTCCTGTTGCTACCTTCATTTTTGTTTACATTCCATGCCTAAGTTTTGTTTCCTTTTTTACTCATCGGTACCCTCCCCCTTCCTTACAGACACATATTGCTTCATGTCTCTTTGTAAATGGAGATAAAGGATTTCTCTGGGTAATGGATTTAAAGGGGATCAAACAGTTACTTGCCCTGGTTGGAATATTTATTGTAAATGCTACATGTCACAGCTAGTTGGTGTTCATTTTGCATTTGCATTGATAATTGATTTGGGAAAGGGATCATAGGTCATGATAAACCATGTAATGAAAGACATGTGCAGTACTTGGTAAAACCTTCATAGGGAAAAGTAGAATGGACTAAATTTAAATTTAAATTCATGCATGCATAATAGTGAGACCAGTAAAAAGTTCCCAAGTCATGTAAACTCGTTTTAATACTGTAAGTCTTTTTATTTTAATCCCGATGTAAAAATTTTACAATTTGCTTTATGCATATGCTACCGATTGAATTACATACTCCCAGGTACATATAACTATATTGATCAATCAGATTAAAATCAGATGTAAGTTTTTGTTAAGCTACGTTTAAACTAGCCCAGGTACATGTACTACGTTGTTCGTCGTAAACGTAGACAAACAGCTGGGGGTATGTGTACAGATAAAACAAAAAAAATTACTTTTAAGTGAAGTAAAGTGAAAACTGAAAAAAATATCCATATCCATGAAAAATGAAAATTTGAAAACTATTTTTAAATCTGGTGATGTTTAAACTTATTTCAGTGGATATATATCTTATAGCCCCACCCCATCCCCTTCACCCTTATACAAAGAGTTGTAATTAAGAGCAATTAAAAATTTGACACTGGTATTAATATCATAATTCATTCACTTTTAATTCATGTTTGTAATTAAAAAAAGTAATGGCATAATGTCATTTTTACTGAATAGAAGGTAAAATGTAGGCTGGAATCGAGAGTTAGTGTGCATAGTTCTTAGTCATACTCTCCCCATGACAGTCATATAAAACTTAATGATATATACTGATGATATTGTATGTTCGAGTACATAACAGGGTATTGTGAATTTTTATATGTAGATCGCTGGAACAAGGCAGGTAATTTTATTCATTGATAACACTCTACTGAAAGTAAATAAATATATAATACCCATGATTTGTTAAGAAGCCCCCTTCTCAAAATTGCTATTTTTGTAACCATGGTAACACACACTGTTCCTTGAAATAAAAATACTTAAATATTAAAAAAAATCTGCATCTTTGTATGCTCCACATGTGTACCAAATTTTATTGAAGTCAGTAAAAAACTGTAGGAGGGATGGCGATTCAAAAATTGCTTACGACAATCAGACAGTTGTATAAAGCCGAAGTCGAACGGATGAGGTACTGACATTGTGTGATTGTATAAACTCTTTCTATTATATAAAATTGACCATTAAAACTAAAAAACTAATTGAATGCATGCTTTGTTTTAATTGTAACACAAAATCCTCTGGTTTGGAAACATTATTTGTAAAATTGTTTGTATTTCAGGGACGAATAAAGGGAGCAAAGCACATATTTTGGCAATTATGGGTCTCAATCGTTGCCATGGCAACCGTGACGTCAAATTACTCTGCATAATCAAATACTTTAGGATCTTACCTTTCAGAAAATATATAGGTTGCTCTATGTAAAAGTGACTAGAAAATGTCTAAAATTCTATTTGAACTTTTTAAGACAATTATGCAGAAAAATAGCAAAATCTCTGGCCGTTAAAGGGTTAAAGCAATATGAGCTGCAACTTTGATGTCGGAATTTTTTGTTGAAAATTTGTAATAAACTATTTTAATAATAGAAAATAAGAACATTTATAAATTTCTGTTGTACATATTTGCAATGAGAGAACTATTTATGTGCTTAGATCATGTGGATTGAAAACAAAATTACATTATTGTCATCCTGTACATTATTTATTTCTTATATAAAACTATACATTCTGTTGCAAAGAAATCATTTTTCTACAACAATTTAATACTTTCTTTTAGTCGAACTCATCATAAAGGTTTAAATTACATACAAATTTATCGTAATAGCTCTTTTTACCAGCAAAATAAAATTCTCAAAAAATTAAAATACAGCTCATATTGCTTTAAGTACTGCGATGTTATGAGACACCAGTATACATGGATGCATGGCTATCAAAAATACAATCCAAATCATAGATATTTCTGTGTAACTGTGTGGTCACTCTTCAATAACCACAAAACTTTTAGAACTTTGAGTACAATATGATAAGTTGAAAATTATCACCGCACCAAGATGTGACTTTTTGTACATGCTGAAAAAATAACACATTTGAGAAAATAGTGTGATAAAACAGCTTAATCAAGCAATTCCGAATAGCTTAGTAAAGTTACACAGCTAAATTAAGCTATATATCTTAATGAAGAGTTTGTTCCAGACCTGTTTTTAACTCAGTGTCTTGGCATAAGCCCACAAAACAATGAAAACATGTCCAGAAGACAATATCATTTCAGATAGAAAGTTCTGTCTCTGCAGCATATGACCCTTACATATACCTTAAATTTACTAAATTAATGTACATACCGGTATATTTTTGGAGAGAATTTGTGCTACTAAAGTTATTCAGTTTATTCTTGTTTCTTTCACAAGCTAGCCTCAGCTAGGAGAAAGGCAGCCTCCATCAGTGTATTCTCAGTTTTTGTAGTATATATATAGCTCTAAACCTTAATCTCCCAAGGGAGGGAATTAGTGTTGATTAAATTTTTCTTTTTTCTCTCAGGAGAATGGCGGCCTCCATCATTGATGACTGGCAGTCCTGCAGAAACATACAGTACTGTAATAAATACATGTGGACCAATCAGATTGCTTGTGACATAGAGTTCCTGGTGGGAGAGAACAAGGAGAGGGTGGCGGCTCACAAGTATGTTCTGGTCAGCAGGAGTTGTGTCTTCTTCTCCATGTTCTGTGGACCCCTTGCTGAAACACAAAGGGAAATAACTCTACCTGATATCGAGCCTCCGGTTTTTAAGGCACTGCTTGAGTAAGTCTTTGTACGTGCAAATAGCATTATTGACTTATTTTCTACATAAATTTTACTTTCTTGGTCCATATCAGGCTAAGTAGTTGATCAGAGAACAGTTGCCTCTATCATACTTACAGAACAAGGTGTTGAATTTGGTATACTATGAAACCTTTACAGATTAATTCTTTTCTATTTTGTATTAATTTGTTTAATCTGTGTTTGACAGGTTTCTCTACACAGACTCTGTAGACCTACAGCCAGATATTGTTCTGCCATTGCTGTATGCTGCCAAGAAATATTCCATCCAGGCCCTGGTGAAACAGTGCATTCAATATCTTGAACTGGATCAAACCACAGAGAACATCTGTGCTATTCTTGAACAATCACATCTGTATGATGAACATGAACTTCAGAGGAAATGCATGAGCTACATCTGTCGTCACACTAAAGAGGTATTACATTCAGAAGATTTTCTGAACCTCTCCTCCAAATGTCTTGAAGTTATTTTATCCAGTGATGAATTACAGATTGATGAGAAATCAGTTCTAGATGCTGCCCTGAAGTGGGCAGTTGCTCAGTGTGAGGTGAAAGGTTTGGACATTAATGCAGAGAACCAGAGGAAGGTTCTGGGGGACATTATCTATCTGGTTAGGTTCCCCTTACTCGGGGATCAATATTTCACTGAGGTTGTTGCAGATATGGACATTCTGACTGATGCTGAAAAAGTGGAACTCTTCAAGTTCTTCTTCAAGAAGGAGAGAAGTAAGAAATGTAAGTTCATTGCAATAAATAGATACTCGGGATTGGACTCTCCTACCTCCATGACGACATCTTTCCATTCGGACGTAAATGACAGTCGACCCATACAGACTTGTATCCGGTATCAGACGGTTTACGAGGATGGTTCATGGTACTGTGGTGGTGAACCAGACGCCATCTCCTTCACCTGCAATGAGAAGATCTCCCTGCATGGTATCCTTGTTTATGGATCGTACATTGGAGAGGGAGTGTACGATGTGACCTGCTCCATTTACGATACGATGGAAATAGAAAAGGTCACCAGAAAAACCAGGTTAAAAACCAGCGAGAGCCAGCACACATATCCAATCCTATTAGAGACGCCCATAGATATTGGACCAGGAAAGAAGCACTCGTTAGTGGTGAAACTAATTAGCTCTGACGGGCT